AAGTTTAGGAACCCCTGGTTTAAATTTACTAAGAGCGTAATCCCAATATGTTTAGTGGATAATCCAATGTTTAGTGGAGTTTAGTTCTAGGAAATTATGCACAGGATTCTGCTGGGTGATGGGTAAGTACACATACCTTTTTCTATTAGTTTGGAATTATCTCGGCTTCCTTTGGGTTTAAAAATACCCAAATATAAATATTTGGTTTTAAATTTTAATTTAAAAAGTTTATTAAAGTTTTTTTATTAAAATAAAAAATAGGGATACATCAAACTCTGAAGGATTGGGCTGGAGCGTTTGCTTGCTCTTTGCTCCTTCACAACACGGAGTCTGTGGGCTGGTTCAGATAGCCTCGGGAACCAGCTTAACTAGTATTATCTCTCGGGCTCAGTGTTTCCGGGGAGTGAGTCACAAGCGGCGGATCCTCGCAGTGCCAGCTCTGATTGCTCAGGATCAAGTGAAAGGTTGAGACACAGTAGCAGCTAGCCTTGCTGGGAACGATGGGAGCCGCAAGATAAGCATCTGGAAAGCTCCAGATGTCATAAGGTGGTGCCTTCAATAGGTCAGACTGGAAGGGCCGGAAGTCCCCTGGGAGATTGAGCGCTTCTGCGAATCTACGCGTTGCCTCCGCACCAAAGACACGCCCAGTTCCCTTTGAGCAAAGCTGAGTTGCTTTGGATCGGGCGCGGCGGCGGAGCGGGCAGCCTATCCGCCCTCGCAAGGTGGCAAAACAGCCTATTAAGGGGAGGAGGCGGGTGGGATGTTCCCCCTCCGCCAGAGCGCGTCCCACAAAGGCCCACAGCAGCGAAGCCCGGAGCCACCTGCGCCAATGCGACGGGGGACTGCGAGGGGGGCGCCCGCCTGGAAGAGGCAGGCCAGCGCCGTGGGACTCCGCTTCACCCTGAAGCAGCAATGGCTGCCCAAAGGTCGCGGCGCTGCTGAGTGGCGGGGCGGAGCTGGGTCGCTGTGGCTGGGAAATTCCTTCACAAATTATACGTAACGCGGCTACAATCCACGCCACGCTTTGCCCAAGCTGACGACTCCCGTCTCAGGGAGGGAAGGCCGCCTCTCCTGGCGGATCAAAGGATTCCAGAGCAGCGGGGAGGCCGCCTTTCGTACCGCAGGCAGGGGATGTACGAAGGCAAAGTATTATTACTATTATTATTATTATTTTGAAATAATAATAAT